TAGATAGATAGATAGATAGATAGATAGATAGATAGATAGATAGATAGATAGATAGATAGATAGGCAGGCAGGCAGGCAGGCAGGCAGGCAGGCAGGCAGATAGAACAAAAAGATTGCATCCCTGAAATTATTTCACCTGTAATCACAATACCTGGAAGCTAGGTGACATGGTTGTTAAAAACTGGACACTTTCTTTCAGTTGTGCCTATAAATAAAATGAAATAAAACGAATTAATTTGGTCCCGTGAAATATTAATCACATGCTTTCTCTTCCATTGAAACAGAACCAGAAACCCAACCTTCACTTTATCTAAAATTAAATTTTATAGACTATTAATTTAAAATCTCCGAATAGGTTGCTTTGATGGTGGGATTCAGCCAGTTCACACCGGTTCACAAGAACTGGTTGTTAACTTTCTGAGCGGTTTGGTGAACTGGTGGTTGGAAGAAATCGTTAGGGCGGAGAACCGGTTATTCAATTCTTTGAATGCCACCCCTGAGTTGCTTGCTCTTTCTGTTGAAGTCCTTCTGAGTTTCAAGTCAAGGCTCCTGGGTGTGATTCACTGAAAGCTTACCACGAGGGCCTCCATTGGGAGGACTCCCTGGTTCTGGATTCTTCTCAGCTTGTGAGCTTCCTCCACCAATCGTCCTGCCAGAGTTCTGTCGCTCTGCGGGAAACATCAACATCTCTGGGTTGACTGGGAAGCGAGGGCGGGAATTTAAGAAAGACTCTGCCTCTTTCCCACCCACCCCTATGAATGGCCACCCATCTCAACTGGTTCCCCACCTGAACGTTACTCAACCTTTCAAGATCTACTGCCAATCCTTCCACGTTGGTCTTCACCACAGGGTTGCGCAACTGAAAGAGAAATCATCCGCCGTATTAAGGGGCTGTGAGAATATCCTTGGGAGGAGGAAGTAAATACCTGAGACAACAGTCTGCAGAAGGAATGGAGGTGTTGAAAGTGTCTCAGGTGGGCACCTCCCTACTTCTCTGGAAGGTTAAAGGTGAGGGGGGGGAGAAGAGCTTTCAAGCTTTCAAGCTTTCATATTTCTGTTATTATGGAGCGTCCCTGCAGGTGCCACCCTGATAATCATGACCAACTTTAGGAGGTGATGTTGATCTCTATTTTTGAAGCCAAAGAGCCAGCATTGTCCAGAGAGGCTTCAGCAGTTATGAGCCAGCACGACATCACGCCACAGCATGGAGCACACATCGAAATTCAGAAGGCTGTTACCTTCCCACATGTTTATAAGCTGCTGTAGTAACTTTACAAATAAAGGTATAGAGTTAGTCATGATCTGAGCATCTTGTCTGGACTACCTTGAAGGGCTAGCGCCGAGCGACTTCTGTATCTGTAGTTGTGGGTAGAAAAGAACATCCCGAAGGTCATTTTTTTTCCAAAAGGCAACTGGACTTTCTCGTTTGTTTGTTTTTTCCTTTGAAAACATCTCGCTTCTCCTTCAAGAAGCTTCTTCGGTGAAGAACTCGAAGAACTGAACCGAAGAACTTGAAGAAGCTTCTTTGAGGAGAAGCGAAACATTTCCAAAGAAAATAGGAAAACAAGTAAGTCCAGTTGCCTTTTGGAAAAGCCCCTTTGGGACAACCATGACCTGGATGACTGAGAGCTTCCGTGCTCCCGTAGTCATGAGGACGTCTGCCTCCTCCTTCCCGCAGTCACAGACTCACCTCTGCCGTGAAGTCAGCGTAGTTGACCAAGTCCACCTGGCTCTTTCTGAAGGCCTCCAAGTCGCGCCTCCCTTCGGCATTCAGCAAAACAAGGTCTTCGAAGTGGAAGTTGAGGGCACGGAGACGTTCCTGAAACTCAGCCGTGTACTGGAGCGGAAGGGGAGGCAGGGTGGTGGTGGAAATGGAGGCTGCTTTCACAATGGCAAGTCTTAACGCGGTTATTCGATTTAAGGTTGGACTAAGTTTAATGAATTCATTTTTAATCGTTTTATTTTTTTTTAATCAATGGATTCGTTTCTCTGAATTTATTATAGCCGCCTGACTCCGAGGTCAAAGGTAAAATCAATACTGGGAGGACATCCTGGGGGTGGTATCCCCATTCAGGCTTGTGTAGGCTGAGAAATGGTCAGATTGACTATGAAATCATTCCTTCCGTGCATTTTCCCACTTGAAATAACACCCCGATGTGTTTTTACTGCTATTTCTGTCTTTTCTCTTTTTTTTTTTCTGGGGAGGAAAAACAACAACAAAGAGAACAGATGGCCATGGTCTTCCCCAACCTGGAGCGTCCTTGGGTGGATAATTGTGCCTCAAAAACAAAGTTTGAAAGGATGGAACTGGGTCTCCCAAACAGGGAGCCACATCAAATATATGTCCCGGGGCAGAAGTTTTCTTTAGACTTTACGTTTTAACAGATTAACGGAGTTGGAAGGGACCTTGTAGGTCATCTAGTCCAACCGCCCAAGCAGGAAACCCTGAACCATTTCAGACAGATGGGAATCCAGCCTCTTCTTGAAAGCCTCCAGGGATGAAGCTCCCACAACTTCTGAAGGCAATTTCTGTGATTGTTCTCACTCTCAGAAAATTCCTCCTTATTTCCAGGTTGAATCTCTCCTTGATCAGTTTCCATCCCTTGTTCCTTGTCCTGCCTTCAGGTGCCTTGGAAAATAGCTTGACCCGCTTCCTCCTCTCTGGGGCAGCCCCTCAAATACTGGAAGACTGCTCTCCTGTCTCCCCTGGTCCTTCTCTTCCCTAGACTAGCCAGGCCAGTTCCTGCAACCGTCCATCGTATGTTTTAGCCTCAATCCTCCCCGAATCATCCTGGTTGCTCTTCTCTGCACTCTTCAGTCTCAACGTCCTTTTTATAGTGTGATGACTTTTCTTTTATAAAGAAAAAAGCTGTACAAGCCTGCTACCCTAATCTGATGTTATGTACCTAAGATTCAGAACAGGAGCCTCGCTGATCCTCTAAGCGTCTGCACAGAACAGGAAAAGATTATATTAAAATCTCCCCCTATTTTTTATGGGGAGAGCAAACTAATCGTTGAGAATTCTCCAGTAATAAAGATGGAATGAATTCTCCAAGGAAAAGTGACCTACCTTCTTTAAGAGTGCAAAAGTAAATAAGGTTGGGAGCTTTTGGAGTTTACAAAAAGGGTGGCTAGGCTAATCCTCTCCCCCACAAGTATATTTAAATATAATGGAGAGAAACGTTGCCTAAAATTCAAGCCCCACCCCAGCCGATACTGCAAAACAAATTCTCTGACTATTTTCATCCGACTGAACAGAGGATGCCAGCCTGCAGTATATTTAACGTATTGCTCGATTCGAGAGGGGAGGATGCTGTGATCCAGTGGTTTTCTTCCCCTATTGATAGGAACATCTGGAGAACCTCTGGAAGCCAAGTATTGAAGTAGAGCTGAGCCTGACGGCGTGTTTTTGTCTCCCGAGATCCTCCTGAAGGATCCCAGGGGAATCCAGCCTTGCTTTGCAAAACGGGGTGACCAAGGAGGCAGCGAGAGGCTTGTTACCTTGGCAACGGTGAGATGCTCGCCGAGGCTATAGTGGTCCTTCAGTTGCAGGACTTCCCAGAGGCCCGCACCGTTCTTGCACTGCCTGAAAGGAGATGGAAAGAAATGAAGCCAAGCTCCAACTCGTCACATCCGCTTGCAGTCTGCCTGCTTTATGCGAGATGTCTAGATAACATCAACTCGCAATTCCCAGCCCCCCCCTTCGTTCCTAACGTTTGGCTCTGCCAGGTTAGGGGCGCCAGGTGTTGGGCAGAAGGAGAACACATCCTCCTTTTCAGCTGCAAGTCCTCCACCTGGCAAGGCAGAGCTTTAAAATCAAAGGTTGTTGAGACAATAGGAGTGTAGGGCCAGCACTCTACTGAACAGGACGGAATAAGAGAGCCGGGAGGGTCTTTGGAGGTCTTCTAGTCCAACCAGGTGACCCTATGCCCTTCTAGACAATTGTCCTTGTTCTCTGATGCCTGTTTAGTTATCTTGTACTAGGATTAAGGGTGGCGTGATGAGAAGCAATGGATGGAAGCTCATGAAAGACAGATACAACCTAGCATTAAGGAGACATTTCCTGAGAGTGAAGTCAATCAACGGGACAGCTTGCCTGCAGAAGTCTGGACCGGAGACCCATTTGACTGGGATGGTATAGGTTCTCCTGCCTGGGCAGGGGGCTGGGATAGAAGATCTCCAAGGTCCCTTCCAACTCTCTTACTGTGTACTCGGTAACCCTACTGAGGCGATGGCCTGGGGGGAGCCAGCCAGTCCAACTCTTTAGCAAAAGGAGCCCTTGGGAAAAGCGGGTACTCACTGATACGCTGACGTGAGGTTGAGATTCTGCTTTAAGCCAAGGTACTGAGAGGCATTCATGGAAGGTGGGAGGTTGCCGGGGGTGTCGATGAACTGAATAATAAAAATAATAATTGTGCATTATTGTCTGTGCAATTGACGACGTTTCCATCTCTCCGTTGCAAAAGTCTACGCTAGAGCCACATGTCGACTATGCCGATGCATTACAACAAGGGGGCTTCTCGGAGGAAGTCAATGCCCATGGAGGAGGCCAACCCTAGTTAAAGATCTGGCAGGTGGGACTTCATATTGTGGACAGAGAATAATAATAATAATAATATCAACGGCACGGTGGAAACCACGGTTGCTAGTCAATGGTGATGCGTTGGGAGAGGTTAATATCAAGAGAGGAACCATCCCTGCTACTGATGGGCTCAGTTGCGGTCATAAACATAATTGAGGATTATCTGTACTCTTTTTGTTTTATCTTTCCCTGGAATTTCTTTAAAAGAAAGGTGCAGACTTTCAGCACTATAAGGTAACACATTTATGCACCTGAAAAAATGAATTGTGTGCAAGTGGGTGTGTGACACAGAAAAAGAAGGGGGAGAGGAGTTGTCTGCACACACTTGTGGATGGATTCTCCCAAGTGCAACCATTCCCACACCACTTTTTCAAAGGTTTTGTGGATCAGAGTTGGCCAAGATGAAAGAACTATAGTATTCTATGGCTTTGCTGGTTGAGGAATTCTGGGAATTGAAGTCCGCAAGTCTTAAAGTTGCCCAGGTTGGAGACCCCTGTCCTAGACAAGTGACTGTTCAATTTCTTCTGGAAAAACTCCAGTGATGAAGCAGACACTACTTCTGAAGGCAAACAGTTCTACCGATTCATTGTTCTCACTTTCCCCAAAAAATTTCTCCTTAGTCCTAGGTTGCTTCTCTCCTTGGTTAATTTCCACCCGTTGAGTCTTGTCTTATCTTCCAGTGCTTTGTAAAACAGGTTGACCCCGCTTCTTCTTTGGGGCAGCCCCTCAAATATCGGAACGCTCCTATCCTCTCTCTCCCTTAGTTCTTCTTTTCACTAGACTGGACGTGTCCAATTCCTGCAACCATGTTCTTCGTATGTTTTAGCCTCCAGCCCCCTAATCCTCACTGTCGCTCGTCTCTGCGCTCTTTCTAGAACACCAACCACAACGAAAGCCAGGCTCCTTTAAAATAAGGCCAACCACTCTTAAAAAACCGCCCTTCCTCGTGTGTTCATGCAGACCAACTCACTCTGAGGATCTCTCGGTCGGCCCAAGGTTTGCACACCAACGTTTGGATGTTTCCTCCAATCAGAAAGGTGACCGAGACCAAGAGAATCAGAATCCAGGAGAAGAGGAAGCTGAAGGTGACGCCGCTGTAATCAGATGGACAAACACGTGTCAGGGAGGGGACAAAAGTCACCGCCGCGTTTCCCCGTCTGGATTGTTGCCCCTTCCCAAAGAACCTGGAAGCCAGGTTGGAGCAGAGGGAAGCACCTGACGTCTCTGCTTAGGTGACAGGTACCTAGACATAGCCACGTTCTCTCCTCCTTGTTTTGTTTCACTGTTTTGTTTCTGCATTAAGGACCCCCATTGTCCTCAAATTTGGATATGGAGATGACATGAGGGGTTCTTGATGCTCCCTGCTTGGTTGTTTTCTGGTAGACGTTTCATTACCCAACTAGGTAATATCATCAGTGCTAGAAGGGAATGGGGTTGAGGAGGAGGAGGAGGAGGACTGTGCGGTCCTTGGTCCTCCCTGAGTTTGGTTATTCACTTTCAGACATTTTATTACCCAACTAGGGAATATCATCAGTGCTAGGAAGTAGAGTTTGCAGGAGGAGGAGGAGGAGGAGGAGGTGTGGGGTCCTTGGTGCTCTCTGATGTCTGCTTTCTTGAAGACATTTCATTACCCAACTAGGTAACATCATCAGTGCAGGA